ACTAAAAGGAAAGTAAAATTTAAATGTTACACCAAAACATACTGTTGTATAAAAAGCATCATTGAAAAATGAAAGCAAATTATAGATCATTCTAAAATAATCACCTCCATTATATAGTTGTTTAGTTATTGGATGGTATTTGTGTACCTTGAAATGCAGGAAGATATTTTTAATTTTTAAAAATCTGGCTATGATATTTCCCATATACACATGCTACAAAGTACACTAAAATAGCAAAATTGCTCAAAATCATTATCTCTAAATGGAATTATTACTACCAAATATATATACATTAAACTTAATCAATAATTATCCTTCTGGAATAAGAAAATGGACTGAGACTTTATTTTAGAAATGAATATTGTTTATATTTACTTCAGTGTCCCCTCTACGTCCAGATGTGAATGTCAGCAATCAATCCCACACATAAATCCTTTTATTGTTTTACTTGCTTCAGAACCATAAGCAGAGTTCATTGTCAGTCAGATGGCATTGTTGTGGCTTTCCTTTCTCAAAATCAGGCAACTTTCTAAGGACTATGGTCTCTCACGCAACCAAGAAATGTTCCTGCTCATCAAGACTGTACACTGTTATCTATTTCCTTTCATCTCAGGGATTACTTCTCAAGTCCCACGTGCTAGCTAACCTATTTTGACTAAATTCTTGTCCCCAAATTATTAATCTTTATAATGACCAATATGTTGTCTTTTTCCTCACAGGAAGCAATTACAATATTACCTACTTATCATCATTACATTAAAAATTACACAACTTCATCTCTGCTCAGGATCCTGTAAGCCTCTCTTCTCCAATTTCATGCGTATGTGCTCCCAAGACATAATTCTATTGTTAGAGCAGTGACAATGGCAAACAGAGAAGAGCCCTGGAATTAGTGACCCAAAAGCTCTGAATGTAAAGCTTTGGTTTTTCTATAGGGATTTAGATCTAATATTTCATCATTTCTCCTAACAAGTAATCCAATCCTGTTAGTATGGTAAGAGCAGCTATCAAGCAATAAGTGATAGCTATTTCAGATGCATCAAACCATTTTAATCCTTTAACATGCTCAGTTCCTATATATTTTCAGCTTGTACACAAGCTGTCTTTAGGCACAATCCCAATTCAGCATGCTTTGAGCCACTTAAGTTCAAACCTTCCAGGTACGAGTACAGAAGCTTTCTCATCACACCACCAATTGTCCAGGGCCTCACCCTCCTTTTCTTGGTGTTTAAGGGCATGGAGAAATATGGAGGAGGGGATGTCCATTCACAAGTGTTAGTTGGGACAGATGGCTCATTTCTGAGTGTTTAGTGTTGCTAGAGATAAGAGGGTTGCATCCTGTTCCCAAGTGGCCTTCAAGACCTCCCTTATTGTCTTTTGTGGTTAGGATGACCATACTGCCTAGTTTGTTCAAGACATTCCAGTTCATGCTATTGTCCTAATATAATTGGTGCCCTTATCACTCCCAAGTGTCCCCGTTTGGGCAATAAATTATATGGTGGCCGTGTTTATGGTAGAACTTTGCCAAATCCACCCACTTGGGCTGCTTTTCCTTTATCAACTTCCTGGATCCCTGTTCTGCCTACTTTATGATCAACCTCCTTTCCTCTTCTCCTGACCTTGCTGACCCCAAATCTTCATCTCCACGAATTCTTTTCTTCTTCTCTTCATGATGCAGAAAGTAAACTTTAGACCCAAACAATACTGATATGCAACCTGCACAGAGGGTCAGCATACATCGTTTGGATAGTCTGGTGCCATCATAATTAATTATTCTAAAACCATCCCTGATCCAGAGCCCATCAACAAAGGAGTCTCTCAGACTTACTAAACCAGTCTATCATGGCAGACAGGGCTCAATCATGTACTTTTCCAGAGCTTCACAGGTGATTCTCACAGGGGTCACTGTGTAGTCCTGGCTCCATGTGTACCAGGCACCTCACATGTCAGCTCACTTAATCATTAGAATCCCAGAGGAGCAATATAGTGTGTAGTAGTTAGGAGCACCAGGTTTTAAAAATAACGTACTAAGGCAGCAATTTTTCAACCAGTGTGCTGCAAGAATCTTTTTAAAACATGTAATACCTGACTATTTAGTCAGGGGCACTGAACTCTTCCTTTAGATTTGCTGGAGTCCATTCATTGTCTTCACTAGCTGAGTTTAGACAGAGACCCCCAAAAGCTAGTAACCTTTGAAGTCCTAGCAAAGGTCAGGACTGTGCACCACCCAGTTAATCTAGGAACCACCCAGTTAATTTAGGTAACGGTAGTTGAAGCATCATCCCCACCTTAGTTCACTTAATTCCTTAGATACTTGTGTAGATCCTTGTTGATTATTGTTGATCAGATACTCTGCCTATTCCTGGAAATTGTCTACTGATGAGCTAATCAGATTCTCTGTCTATTCCTGGAAATTGTCTGCTGATCTGTGTGTCATTGAAACCTCCTTACCCTAAGGGCTACTCCAGATCAATAAAAGATTGGAGCGGCCTGAGCATCGGTGGAAGTCCCTCTCCTTGAGTTGGACTTGCCCACCTGGTCCTCCAATATTTCAAAATTATCTCGTGTCATTTTTCTCTCATTTGTGTGCGGCTCCTCTTTCAGGTACCGAACCCTACTCCATGCGGGACGTGGAAGGAAACACTCAACATAGATTGTCAAATAAAAATGTGACAACAGCCAAAACAATAGCCATCCAGTGTGACTGCCCTGTCTTTAACCATAAATATATAGGTCATATAATAGTGCTGCATCTTATTGGTCACATTGCATAAGGTTGCATCTGATTAATTCTCGGTATCAGAAATTTTCATATACAAGTATAGGCACCTGATTTTTAAAAAAATTTGTTTGAATACTGTTAAAATGCTTTATTAGTTTTTTCTTTATTGATTAAGGTATTACCTATGTGTCCTTATCCTCCCATTCCCCTCCCCACCCCCCTGCTCATGCCCTCACCCCCCTAGTGTCTGTGTCCATTGGTTATGCTTACATGCATGCATACAAGTCTTTTGGTTGATCTCTCCCCCTACCCCCACCATCCCCGGCCTTCCCTCTGAGGTTTGACAGTCTGATTGATGCTTCTCTGTCTCTGGATCTGTTTTTGTTCATCAGTTTATGTTGTTCATTATATTCCATAAATGGGTGAGATCATGTGATATTTATCTTTCTCTGACTTATTTCGCTTAGCATAATGCTCTCCAGTTCCATCCATGCTGTTGCAAATGGTAAGAGTTCCTTCCTTTTTACAGCAGCATAATATTCCATTGTGTAGGTGTACCAGTTTTCTAATCCAATCTGCTGATGGGCACTTAGGCTGTTTCCAGATCTTAGCTATGGTGAATTGTGCTTCTATGAACATAGGGGTGCATATATCCTTTCTTATTGGTGTTTCCAGTTTCTTGGGATATATTCCTAGAAGTGGGATCACTGGGTCAAATGGGAGTTCATTTTTAGTTTTTTGAGAAAACTCCATACTGTTCTCCACAGTGTCTGCACCAGTCTGCATTCCCACCATCAGTGCACGAGGGTTCCTTTTTCTCCGCATCCTCACTAGCACCTGTCATTTGTTGATTTGTTGATGATAACATTTCTGACAGGTGTGAGATGGTACCTCATTGTTTTGATTTGTATCTCTTGGATGATTAGTGACTTTGAGCATGTTTTCATATGTCTCTTGGACTTCTGTATGTCCTCTTTCAAAAAATATTTATTTAGGTCCGCTGCCCATTTTTTGATTGGATTGTTTATCTTCCTTTTGTTAAGTTGTATGAGTTCCCTGTAAATGTTGGAGAGTAAACCCTTATCGGTGATAATATTTGCAAATATGTTCTCCCATGCAGTGGGCTTTCTTGTTGTTTTGTTGATAAGTCCTTTATCCATTGAGTTTATTTTTGTGTAAGGTGTTAGTTAGCACCTGATTTTTAAAGTCACTTTGGAGCAAAAAGGGTAGGTAATTACTTATTTTTATAAATCAATAAAAATTAAACCAATTTTTCTTGTCTGATCAGGAAAAAAATATATTTTTTGGGTTTGCCACAGAATTTTAGTAATTAGTTTATGTGTGCCACGAGATGAAGAGTTGAAAATCACCATACTAGAGTTTAAATGCAGGTTCCAACACTTACGAGGGTAGCTTTGAAAGGTTACTTTAGATCTGTTTCAATTTTCCCTGTAAAATGTGGTTAACAGTATTTATCCTCGACCTGTGGTAAATATTAAGCAAGCTAATAAAGTGCCTAGTACAAGAATTGCTTTTAAGATGTTAGTATTACCTGTTTTACAGTCAAGGACATTTCCATGATCACATGGCTAGTGGTGTTGCTGAGATCTATAGGCAGGTTTTCTGGGTCCAACTCGACTCTTTCTGTGATACCACTACTACCCAAACACTCTCCTATATGTAATAAAAAACAGGAATAGGCCAATGAGTGATATGGGAAGTACTTTATTTTATCATGTGACACCACATAACAGCCACATTTTTACAGCTGCCCAACCACCGTATAGATTTGAATAGGAAAAATGGCTCAGAAATAGCAGTATTAGTGATTCAAGTATTGATCTTTATTTGATAAAGGATAGCAGTTTTGATGATTGATTTATCAGAGTTTTAAAATATAATTTTATACTGAATTCTTTTCTTAAAAAGAACTATTTTTAATTAAACTAGGTATAGTCACATAATGAAACTGCATTTAAAAACATGCTTAAAATTCCCACCTGTCAATTTTGCTCTTAGTATTAAAAATGCCTAATTCCAAAATCATGCTGAAGGCCTCCGCGTCTCTTACAGTATTTCTAAGGGACTAACTGGGAAGTAATGAATGTCTATCTTCCTTCAGAAAGACAGTGATAACCTGGAATTTTTCTTACCATATTTCCCAATATACACCTTATGCCCTTTTGAGATATGCTTATTGAAACAGCAGAAAAATACAACAGGGTTGTGAAAACCTAAATTCTAAGCCTATGTCATAATTGTAAATAGGTCAAGAAAGTCATATTTGTTATCTTTTATTGTTTTTATCTTCACAGTAACCCTTAGAGTTAAGACAGCATTACAATCATTTATAGAGGAAATCATTCTCAAAGAGGTTACACAATCCAGCCAAAATCTCACATGTAATAACGTAACAGAGTTGAACTTACACAGTTTTGCTCAAGACCCTAGTACAAGTATGTGTTGTGCTCATAAATTTGTTAAATGCGCCCTAACTGGTTTGGCTCAGTGGATAGAGCGTCGGCCTGCGGACTCTAGGGTCCCAGGTTCAATTCTGGTCAAGGGCATGTACCTTGGTTGCGGGCACATCCCCAGTGGGGTGTGTGCAGGAGGCAGTTGGTTGATGTTTCTCTCTCATCAATGCTTCTCTCTGTCCCTCTCCCTTCCTCTCTGTGAAAATCAATAAAATATATATTTTAAAAAAAAAATTTGTTAAATGCAGCAACAATTTCCCAGGTCCCTTCCAGTGATCACATTTTATGCTTCTACTTGCTATTTTCTTTCAACCAGCATTTAAATGAAAAAATATGTATATTTGGTCACCAAATTTATCATGGTTCTTTGATTTAACCATTCTTTAAAATTTTCTTGTATTTTCACCGTAAATCCAAAGCATTTTTTTTTTCTTTTTTCAGATGGCTTCCACTACTGCCTGCCTCTATGAAAGCTCTTGAACTTACCTGTTTGCTTGTCAAAGTACAGATTTGCTAAAATTTTAAAACACTAATTCTTTTCTATAATTTTAAGTTATTTCAAAATTAAATTTTAAAAAGGCCTTACTAATTCTTATTCCCTGTAGTAATAAAAATGTATTTTTTATTGGTTTTTGTATCCAGTTTCCTGTCTGCCTTTAGTTGGGAAATACTGTTGTTCTACCTCACTGTCAAGCCTCCCTTTCCCTAACATGAAAATGTCAGTCATAAGAGTCAGAAAAGCTCTCACTTTCACTATTCCATAGGAAGAATAAACTAACCACCTGAACTGGAAAGTTAAACTTTAAGTGTCAAATAAGGGATTCAGGACATTTCCTAAGAGGTCATATGACCAACTTAAATGCTGATATGCTTAAAATAACACTTAAAATTAACTCTTTTATGTGCAATAAATTTATATACCTGCTAGTTAGTCATGCTGATATTACACCCGCATACATACATGCCTAAACCAAATTAAAGTTGAAAACAAAATTTATTCTATCAGCAGAGGTCAATAAATAGGATGCACTCATAAGGAGGAGGGAGCTTTAAACATTCAGTAATTTATATAACTTAATATGCTAAAAATGAGAAAATAAACAGGGCATGGGGATAGGAAAAGTAATTCCAAGAGTTCCTTCATTTTGCTTGGATTGCTTTCTTGTCTTCAGGAGGGAAGATTTTGACTTCAAAAGTAACGAAATATTTGAGAACGGAATTTACATCTTTCTGTTCTAGATGGTATTCTTCTGCTATTTTCTCAGCAGTCCATGTATCTGGATAAAGTTTATGATTATTGAGAAGTGTCAAAGCCTCTACAATGGAAACTTTGCCTTTGGGAATGTTCTCAATATTTATGTCAAAATGATTGCCTTTCGGCAATCTGAACTCCTTTGGCTCTTGAGGTGTTCCAGCATCTTTGTCCTAGTGTCAAAAGACAAAAACAAACAAAAAGGCTTTCAAGACGAGAGAAAAGATTTGACATCTACAGACATGCTTCTCAAATCTCCACTATTCTTCTTCAAATAAATACTTCACATGCTTCTCCAAACTACATTTTCTCATTATGATGAGCCACAGTTCAATGGCAATCACATCACCATTTAATCACTATAGCTCAACCATCATGAAGAAATTCAGGTAGTTCTAGAAAATAATACTCGAATGTATACCATCTATTCCCATTATTTCATTTGTACAGAATATTAAAAGAACAATTGGATTAGGTTAAGACTGCTTTCGAAGGGCAGGACTCTGACACTGACGTAAGTTTACTTTATGATCTCCATTCTGATTCTAAGTTTTGCATTTCATATTCAATGCCTCCAAACATGGGGAATGAATTTAAATATTGCCAGAGATTTTCCCTCTTCAGAGAAAATAAACAAATGCTTTTAATACTCCAACAAACATAAATAAAACATTTTATGCACACCCATCTTTTCACCTGTCTGTACAGTAAAACCTCGCTATAACAGGCTAATTTGCGTGAGGAGGTGTCTGTTAAAGCCGAAAGTCCATTATACAGTAAAGTAGGTTTTCTGAATACGTATGTTAAAAAATTGACAAATTAGTTTACCTATTTTTACTTATGTAGACATATGTAATTTAAATTAAGTATGTATGAAAAGTTTAATTTCACAGGAAAGTTTTTTATATGTATTACTATAATTTTAAATTTATACTGAATAGGTCTAGTAAATGTGTGCATCAACCGGTCACCTTGAGCAAACAAATGCACAGGGCTGGGGCGTGGCTTAGCTCACATGGGAACATCGGCCTTCACTCCTTAAAACTGCTGCAGAAAGTCATGCCACAGACAACGGAACCATAACCTCCAGTGATGAAGTGTGATCATTCCCCGAGCTGTGACTCTTAGATTTAAATATGTAAACTACAGTTGCAGATATGTAATATTTATGTATGTCAGTGAAATTACTATAGTGTTTTTTCCAGCATATGGCCTTTCACTAAAATTTGTTAAAAATAACAGTGAATTAGTAACAAAAAAAAGCCTATTAATTTGGTTATAAGTAAATCTTGGTTAAAAGCATTTTAAAGTTAACAGGATATTAATCTTTGCATGGCTAGAAATTTAGTCCATTAAATCGAGGCTGTGCCATCCAAGCTTAATCCTTGAATTTGTGCTCTGTATTTATTTCATTCATTACCTACTATGCCAAGCGTTCATTCCCTTTTTTCCTCTTGCTTTCACTTGTATCCTGCCTAATGCTGCTGTTTGGTCCAAATGCAAAAATGCTGTAGTCACCTTTAAAAACATCCACAAACCCAAACCCAAAATATCCTTTATGACCAGGTTTTTTCCTTCTGATTAAGCTTTACAAAAATAATTCTTTTTTTAAAATTTCTAATCCATAAGACACTTTTCGGGCTTTATTTGAACTCACTAGAGCACCTAAAGCTTGGTTTCAATGCCACCCTTCTCCTAGTTTCCCCATCTTTCTCTCCAGTGGTTCCTTCTTTGTTTTCTTTGTGGACTGCTTCCCTTCAGCTGCCCCTTAAATGTTAGTGTCGCCCCAAGTTCTGGCCTGGGCCTCTTTTCACCCTATACTCTATTACTCTTCCTAAGTAATCCCACATGCCACCTTCAGTTTCATTACTACCTACATGTTAATTACTTTCAAATGTGACCTCTAACCTAGACTTTCTCCTTACTTCCAGACCCAAATTTCCAAATGCCTCATGGGCATCTTTACTTAGATAATCTACAGGCACCGCAAAATCAACATATCTAAAACTGAACTTATCCCTTTCCTCCGAAAACCTAATTCTAGCCCCATATTCTCTATCTCAGTGACTAACACCACCTACCTCCCATATCCCATTCCAAAATTCAAAGCTTCTCTTATGTCATGTTATACCTGACACCTCCCTCTCCCTCACTCATAATATCAAATCCAATTGATACTGTCCCTAAGTCCTTCTCAAAGCCATTCACTTCTCTCCTAGTTACTAAATCACCTTAGTCCAAGCCAATGTCTCTTGAAGAAATTACTGCAAAAGCCTCTTAACTGGTATTCTCTCGCGATAAAACGCATTTTGTTCTCTCCTAACCCACTCTCAAAACTGTCCTTATTAAACCCTGGCAGCCCATCTATGTCTCTCTCTCACATCAGTGTTTCTCCCTCTCCCTTCCTCTCTCTGTAAAAAACAATAAGACAATTAATTAATTAATTTAAAAGTAATTATTTGATATATGATAGGCACAATATCACTGATGTCTAGAGACATCACAAATGAATTGCCAGAAAGAAAAAAGGGACAAAGAACATAAATAGGTACCTTCAACCTTTTTTTATCATTCTCCCTTGAACCTTTCTAGACTTTCCTAATAACCCCTTTAAATTTTGACACCCCTATATATCTCCTTATGCATTGTATCTATATATCGTGTTTTACATGTAAAATCTTTTATTTTTTGCTCTCCAAAAGCCAATTTTCAAATGCATGATTTAACATGAGAGAAACAACGTTTATGGAAGTATTATTCAATACCTGCCTAAAAATAACAAAGAACATTAACATCAACTCCTATTATCTTTTTTATGTGAGCATTTGGTGATACCTAAACCCAGTTACTTCTACTACATGTAATAATGTACAAGCTTTATTTTACACATGAGCTTTATTTTTCTTTTCTATTGAAAAGTATACTAATAACTATATCTTTGTCAGTCTATTACCTATCCAGAGAGAGAGAGAACAAGAGAATTTTAGAATGGAAAAAAATCTGGAAGTTGTCACTGGCACTTGCCACTTCTTTAATCAAACATTTCCCCTTACTTAGAACCTTCCTGCCCCCACAAACTCATCTGGTTAACTCCCATGCATCCCTCAGGCGTCAGCCTGCATGTCACTTCCTCAGAAACCATCCCTGATCCCCCAATCTCAAACAAGTCCTCCTGATACACTCACACTGCCTATATTTCTCCTTCATATCAGTAATTACACACTGTAGTTGCTCATTTCTTTCATGGCTGTGTCCCTCCTGATACTATAAGCACTGTGAGAACAAGGACTAGGTTTATTTTGTTCATCACTATATACAATGCGCTTATATCTGGCATTTATATATGGATTTACACATAGGTTCCCATTCTCAATGTATTCTTCTACGTATCCTATCTGAACATATTCTTAAAAATCAAACAAGCACCACCAATACACCACTAAAAGAATCCCTGAAATTAAAACATACCTCAATACACTGAAGGGTAAATCAATAAATATATTTTTATTGATTTCAGAGAGGAAGGGAGAGGGAGAGAGAAACTTCAATGATAAGAATCATTGATCGGCTGCCTCCTGCACACCTCCTGCTGGGGATAGAGCCCAAAACCCAGGCGGGTGCCCTGATGGGGAATCCAACTGTGAGCTCTTGGTTCGTAGGTCAAGGCTCAACCACTGAGCCACGTGAGCTAGGCAAGAAAACAGTATTAAAGCTCTCCTTTGGTCATTCAAATGGACAACCAGTACAAGTACCTGGCCAAATCTTACAAATTCTGAAATGATATAAAATAATCCACACAGCTGCATTCAATCAATAGTTTCACAAATCTTTTGGAATTTTGGTAACTATCCAATGCACCGAGGCCTGTGAGCTTGCTTAGACCCCGGGTTTAAACTTTGCCAGTGCACTGTGTTCTGGTCGCGACCACACTGACAGGCCACAGCTGCAGAGCACCTCACTCCCTTTTACTACCTGCCACACTTCTCCGATGGCTGTCCTGGAGTCCAAAAAGGTGGAATTCTTTACAGAATGAAAACACACATTACCTGCGCAGACGACACCGGATCTCTGGAATTAACGTACACATCTCTCAGTAATGACAGCAATTTGTCATCTTTCCTACCAATTTCTCCCTTAATATCCGCTTGGCCTAAGGAAAGAAAAAGAATGTCAACAAAATTAAAACCAAGTAAGAATGCCCTCTGAGTCCCTCCTAAACACTTAACACACGACAGTCGCTATTGGCGTTAAGAAACGCTCGCTGGAGCAGTACGGAAAGTATTTTACAGCAAACCGCTCTGCGGAGACACCTGCTGAACACTTCCGCTGCCCAGGAGTCCCTGTCGCCAGCGGCCAACCGGGCGGACAAAACGCCGGCGAGGACTGCGGCGGCGGGGCCACCCGCGGGACGCCACCCCCGGGACTCCGAGGTGCGGAGCCGCCACTCCAAGGGAGGCCTCAGGGACCGGCTCAATGTCACCGGCCCGGCGGCTCCACCGGCCCGCGCTCGGCGGACCCAGCTCCTGCGGCCCACTCGGCCCACCCCGGCCCGGGACCCACAGCCACCCGCGCGGCCCCGCCCACCACCCGCTCAGGGAGCCGCGAGCCGACCCCGTGCGGCCCCGCGCGCCCCCGCACCACTTACCGCTCATCTGCTCCCGCAGGAGGCTCTCGGTGGAGGGGTGCCTGGGGGCGGGAGAGGGCTTCACCTTGCTGATCTCCCGGGCCGCCCGGTTCTCCAGGTTGAAGTTCCTGATCGCGCGAACCACTGCGGCCCCCATCTCTTCACAGCATGATGCCCTCAGGTTCACGCTGCACGTGGGAAACCCGGCAAGGGCGACCTCGGGACACACCGAGCATGCGCAAGGCAGGGATCGACCGGGAGAACGGGAGCAGAGTGCGCGCCGTTTGCCCCCTAGCGTTGGGAGGGCACACGCCGCGCCGCCGCCTCCAATGAAGCAAAAGGAGCGCTGCTCTCCGGGGCGGGGCTCACGGGCGGAGGGGCGGGGCTCACGGGCGGGGGGGCGGGGCTCAGGCGGGGGGCGGGGCTCACGGGCGGAGGGGCGGGCTCAGACTCACGCTGGTTCTCCGCTGTGGAGGCGCCTGGGGACACCCGGGAAGCTTTAAAACAGTTCCAGGCCGCGCACGCTTTCCGATTTCATTCCTCTGGGGTGAGGCCCGGCATTGGCTCAAGCTTCCCACGTGATTCCAAAGTTGCAGGACGAGTAGAGGAAGTCACAGGAAATTGACCTTGAAGTCCTTTCACAGGTCGGTGCCGCGGAAGAGGAGCCTGTAGCGATGGCAATAGTTGCACCCGGATAAAGGAAGGTTCGGAAAATGCCCTTTCTTGCCTTTGCGAAAGGAACGTCGTGAACGTGTATTCATTTTGGATGAATATTTGTTCTCTGTCATTCTTATTTAAATACCCTTATTTTTCTGTCCCCTTACCTGGTGCATGCATTTCTGAGCCACCGTGTTCTCTCTCTTTGATTTTTTTACATCCCGCTGTTGTAATTCCTTTGACCTAATTTTACTGATTTCACTTACGCTGCCCTTTCTTTTCTCTTTATTTTTTATATTAATTTGCGTTATTTGTCCATTCTATTAAGTGCTGAGTAACCGCGTCATTCCCGTTTTTCCCTGCATTACTCCTTTCTTTTTAAGCCAGAGAAACCGTGTAACTTAATGGAAGGAACAGCCAATTAAACAGGGAAAAAAATACACGGGTGTTGTGTTCTCTCCCTCTCCCTTCCTTCCATTTCTGAATGGATCACTGTTGCTGATTTTATTTGTTGAAGATTGCCATTAGTCCATATTAAAGAACCTACCAGAAAGTAACAGGGTTTCCAAAGCTACAATATTTCACAGACTGGCTGCAAAGATGTTTTTGGTGTTCCCAGATATGCTCAGCAAACTGAAGCTCGTTGTGTTTTCTTTGTTTTGTTTTGTTTTTTAATCGCTTAAACACAAGAAAGAGTCCAGGTAAAGATAATCTAATTGAAGTAATAATAATTTTTAAGAAAAGAATTATAGTAAAGAAAAGGCAGTTTTATTTAAAGAAAACTACTGTCATTATTAAATATACTTAATCATAACAAATGTATTACAAGGACCCTAGCTTCCACCATTGATTATTGTGAAGAGTTTTTACTGGGATTGGTATACGGTTAGTTGGTAAGTTATCCTGAAGGTGGCAGGCTACTCCAAGATTTCCATCTTTGCGACATAAGCATGCTCCGAACTGCTTTCTAGCCCAGGTATTCATATGTCCACAGGTGCCGAGAAATTTTCATCTACCTCATGTCCATGAGCTTCAAAAATTATGGTAGCAATTCAAGTCATTGTTAAAATATTTTAAAAGTGAAAAACGATTTTCATGGAAATTCCACCACATTTCTGGCAGCATGAAAAGTAATGTTAGACAAAAGTGACAGGAAGTGTAGGTTGCTGTGGGGATTACCACATAAAGAATTCCTTGAATTAACCGCATTTAGGTAGAGTTCGGATTAACCTATGCCATCGGCTTTGCCTAGTTCTGGCTTGATGCTGCTCAGGCCTGCAGAGAACCAAAGACAAGGCAGAGATACTCCACCAGAAATGCACAATTGGCTCTTACCCCTTGGGAATCATCATGGAATTAACACTTGAACCACAAATGCATAAATCCAGCTCTTCTTGTCAAAACATAAATTAAGAGGAAGTCTGAATTCAGAATCCCCCTGGGCTTAAGGGTCAAAGTCAGGTCTCCAACTAGCTTGCTGCTCAGAATTAAGCATCTGTCTGAGAGGAGTGTTATGATAGGTGCGCTTTGCTGAATACCTTAGGATACAAATAAAATAGATCCAGGGTCTTGCCAACACATTAGAATGTAAATTCTCTGAGGAAAGGATTTTTTTAATCCATTTTGTTTACAGCTGTATTCATCACATTGAACAGTGCTTGGCACACAATAGGAACTGAATGTCAAGTAAATCTCAAATGAACCCAAAGACAAGCAAGTCCCCTGAGGTGGAATCCAGACCCTAAACAGGTTCTCTTTGCTTTCAAAAATGAGTCCTTGTGAAAGTCACTGGAGACTTCCAACATTTCTTGGTAGCCAGTAATTGCATAATTTCATCCTCATATCTTCTTTGACTATGACTTCTTCGTCTCCCTCTTTCCTTTGTAATATTCTTGTGATTACAAGGATCTAACATGAATAAATCCAGAATAATCTTCTATCTCAAGAACCTTAATCACATCTGCGAAGTACCTTTTGCAAGTTCTTGGGATTAAGAGGTAGACATCTTTGGGGTGTGTGTGGGTGGTGGGGAGGGCAGGGATGGGCATTGTTCTGCCCGCGATAGTCATCATCTTCAGAATATTCATATATACCGACATAGCTATGATCATGTAGTAAAAGACAGATAGAATGATAGAGAAAATGCCCAGTACAGGCAGTCCTCCGGTTACGTCGGACGACATGCGTTATTTCATGATTACGTCGCCATCTCCCATTTATTTATTAAAAAAAAACAAGCTCCGTCATTTCGACGTATGTACATATGTGCTTTTTAAAATTTATTATTTATTTACCACAAGTAAAGGTCAGGAATTGTTATCTTTCTTTTAAATTCTTTTTTTACTGTTTCACTTCGTTACTGCTGTGTATGTGCTCCATGTGAGTGACATAGGTGCTTATGTAGGTGGGTGCGGACTTACAGTGAAAATCACGTTAAGTCGCGCCATGGGAACGGATCTCCGACGTAACCCAAGGACCTACTGTATTCTTATTCAGCTCCACGGAGCTTATAGTCCAATGAAATTACCTAATTGTTGAAAGAATAAAACCAACCCGTTTGGGTAGTAGTACTCTTTCTCTCAGGTTTGCCTAAAAGCCATGGTAGCTCACTAGTAAATTTGACACTAATGTGCCAGGTCAGCTCTGCCCAGGGAGGCAATTCTTATGTTCCCAGCCTCTCATCTTCTCTGTATCTGAGAAGCCTCCGTGAGCAAGAGTATGAATCTGCCTTGTATATAAAGCAACATGACCAGTTTCCCTAATTACAGCATCTTAGAGATGCCAGAAGTCCACCACTTGTCTTACTCTCCTTCCCATTGTTTCCATCTTGGTTTAGAATTTTACAATTTCACCCACCCATTTCTTTCATTGCATTGATACGTTTCTCGTCTTTCTGCCTGCATACACTTTTAAAAGGCAGGTCCTCGTGGGGACGGCAAGCCATTTGTGGAAGAGTTTATCAGTTCTCTGAACTCTCAGACTGGAAGGAGATAGCTATCTGAAAAGCAGGGGGAGAGAGGAGGAAAGCAGAGACAGAGATTACTGGGGGGAAAAAACCCATAGAAAATGAGAGAGAAAGGAACAAAAACATAGTCTGAGGCAGAAAGGAGCATCTAGAACTCTTAACATGGCCAATGAGGCTCCTCTCCTGCAGCTTCTCTTATGTTTCTCCTCGTCCAAACTGTTTAGAAATGAACAACATTGAAAGAAAGAACTATCAAAACCTGTGGAATGAAATGCGTGGGTTTCTATTGAATACATTTCTTAGAACACTAGAAAGAGTGGAGGTAAGTAAGTATGAATTAAACATTTAAATCAAAACACAAGGAAAAATATCAAAATAAATTTAAAAAAAATTTTTAAGGACTGATGATAAATCAGAACTTAATTTTATAGAAAAACACAGTTCTTTTAAAATATACAATCTGACAAATTTAAGTAAAAATAAAGGCACAAATAAAACCCCTTAGAAATTTTTTTGGAAGGAATATGATCACAAATATAAAGACTTATTTTTAATTGAGAGAAAATGATATGTACAGGCTTGTGTACAACTTTGATATGTGTTTCCTCCCCTTAAGTTACTTATTTCTAACCGATAGAATATGGCAAATGTGAACAGAGTTGAGTAGAACAGAATAGAATAGGGACAGATATAGCACACAGTCTACTAGAGAGACTATGGTCACATTCATTATTAGCTCATGTTAGATAAGACTCCATCCTAGGAGACAGAAGTGAGCAATTCTCCTGTTGGTCTTGATGAAGCTAACCACCGTGTTGTTACACGTCTTTCAGAAAAGCCTTGTGGCAAGGAATTCCAGGGGCCTTTAGGAGATGAAAGCAGCCCCCAAGTGACAGCCAGAAAGAAACAGGTATCTCAGTCTCACAACCACAAGCGACTGAATTTTGCCAACAATCCCATGAGCCTGGAAGAGGTCTCCAAGCTCCAGAAATTAACACAGCCCAGTCAATACTGTAGAATCATTTCCATTTATTCACTAAATATATTTGGTTACATTCAGCACCATTATTAATAATAAATTTAATCAGCTAAGACTAGAAAAAAAGCTTCATTGATAAAGAGTACACATTTAAAATTATAGAACATATCATATTAAATGGTGAAATGTTAGTAGCAACCCCAGTAAAGTCAGTGTTCTCTACTATTGGCCTTATTCAACCTTTTGCTGAAGGTCCTAGCTAATAAGAACAAGAATGGGAAGTAAGAATGATTTGTTCTTTTGCAAAATCAGTACCTTTGTCTTCCTACAAAATTCAGGAAAATCATTGAAAGCATTTTTAGATCTTATAAAAGAATTCAATAAGCTAGCTGTCCTACACATTAGTTAGAAAACGAGTGGCCAAAAAATCCCATTGATGATGACTACAAAAACTATTACGCCTCTTAAAATAAACTTCCCAAACTGCAAAACCCAAATTAAGTAAACCACAAAACTTAAGAAAATACAAAAAAGGAACACATGGCTAGATAGATGCACCAGGTTTCTTTCTTTTTTAAAATTTAATCCTCACCTCAAAGAGAGAGAAACATCGATGTGAGAAGAAAATATTGATTGGTCGCCCTCCTTATTTGTCCCAACCAGGAACCAAACCTGCAACCCAGGAAATCAAATCTGCCCTGACTGGGAATCAAAGCAAGAGCATGAGGTGCACAGGACGATGCTCTAACCAACCAAGCCACTCCATTTGGGCTATACCAGGTTACTTGATGATGGTCCAGAGTTTAAAAGTGTCAACTCTTCCACAAATTAATCTATGAGTTTGATATGATTCCAGTGGAAATTGTGAAGTTAAACATGAAAACTGATACTAGAGTTCACCTGGAAGATAAGATATGAAAAAATAGGCAGTTAATTTTTGAAAAACAGCAATGATCAAGGACGTAAGATATTAGAACACAATATAAAACTTTACTGTATAATATTTAAATAAGAAAGGTAAATAAATCAGTAAATATAATAGTGATGGGACAGATCTAATTATGTATAGAGTGACATTTAAAATCACTCTGTGATGTAGGGACCTAACTTTACCCCCTCTCCCCAGAGAGCCAAATTTCCAACTACATTTATTTGCCAACCTGCCATATCCCCTTGCTCTCCATCCCCGTTTGTCACCTGGTTCCTTGTCTCCTTTTTTCTCTCCACTTTTCCCTGCATAACTTAGCTTTCATAATGTATCTGCCCTTCCACACCGCACACACAGTCTTGGTTTTTATGGAAGTAGGGAACATTTTGTTAGGCCTTTGATTTGATTCCAATGAGGTAATTTCGTTCTGTCCTTAGCAATTTAATCAGTACAATAATTCTTTATCTTGGCCCTGGCTAGAGAAGGTACTCCTGACGATTTGGCAAGGAAAGCAAGTGAAAAGTTCTAAAGAACAAGCAAATGCACTCTAGTTGGTTTTGCTAAGTGGGTAGAGCCTCAGGGTTGAGGGTTTGATTCCAGTCAAGAGCATGTACCTCAGTTGCAGGCTCGATGATTCCCCATCCCCGTCCAGGTCACAGAGCATGTGAGAGGCAACCAATCAATGTGACGCTCTCACATCGATGTTTTTCTCTCTCTGTCTCTTTCCCTCCCTTCCATTGTCTTTAAAAATAAATGGGGGAAAAATATCCTCGGGTGAAGATTAAAAATCTACACTAATAAAAGACAAATATGCAAATTGACTGTACTTTTGCTATGCCTTAAGCCATGCCCACCAGCCAATCAGAGCGGCTATATGCAAATTAACCCAACCAAGATGGTTAATTTGCATATATCAGCTGGGAGCGAAGACTGAAGACAACATGGAAGCGAAGCGCTACAGAAGAGAGCAAAGAGGAGACGGCAGAGACAGGTACGGAGCCAAGGCTGCGAAGGCGGGAGGCGGGAGGGGAAACCCAGCTGCACGGCTGGGAGCGGAAGCGAAGCCCACCTGAGCAGGTTTCACTCCCTTCTCTGCTTCGCTCCAGCTGCAGGAAGCCCTATTCTTGCAGGAATCTTCCTGCAATGGGCCTCTAGTAATAATCATCATCATCATCATCATAATAATAAGTAAATAAATAAAGAATAAGCAAATGCTCAAGAACTCATTTTAATTTCAAATCTTATGAAGACAGGGAATATGAAACAGCTATTCCAGAAAAGCTGTGAAGAGCAAATTGCAACTAGAGCAGTGTACCTTAGCTAGTGCACCCAATTCAGTAACTCTGGAGCTAATGTCCATGTTGGTTCTCTCTATCTTTCTGTCCATCTGCAGGTCTGAGCCTTTCCCCCTGATTGTAACTGTCTTCCTGGCTCTTTCCTTAACTGCCATAGTATTGCATAGCAACTACACACAGGCTGGGCACCAGACAGACCTGCACTGAACCTAGTTTTATCTTCCTGACTGCATGATTTTTGGGTAAGTCCCTTAAATTTTTTGGTGCTTAGTTGCCTCATCTGTAAAATTGGAATATCAATACTATCTACCTTATTGGGGGAGGGGGGGACATGTCGCTGTGAGACATAATCCATGTGAGGGCTTAGGACTTGGCATAAAGTAAACATTTAAACTATTACTAGGAGTTATTTTCTTATACGTAACAAAATATAAATGTCATGTGAAATATTTTGATAGTAATAATGTAGATTTGCTTAGCACTTTATAATTTATAAATTAGTATTTTCAGATGTGTTTTCATTAATACACTGTTGCAATACTCTTTAGTATTTTAATCATATTTTGGATATTTTAGAAGATTCATTGAGCCGCCTGGTATTGTTTTTAAAATGGTGTCTAGGAAGTATATGAAGTACCCTTGCCCGTGGACTTTCAGGAGCAGTTTCTTATCAGGTCAACCCTGCCTTTTTATCCCAATCGTCTCCCCTTTTGCTCGTTTCTCCCTTTATCTCCAGGAATTGCACTCCTCCCCTGAACTTTAGCACACAACCTCCTGCCGAGTCTCATTTCTGTTGGATGTGACACTCTTAGCCAAGTCAGGGAGGCAGGAGTAGTAGGCAGATTTCTGTGGCCCCCGTGACCCTAAGCAGAGAACCCAGACAGGCCTGCCTGGATTTTTTTTTTTAATATATTTTATTGATTTTTTACAGAGAGGAAGGGAGAGGGATAGAGAGTCAGAAACATCGATGAGAGAGAAATATCGATCAGCTGCTTCCTGCACACCCCTCACTGGGGATGTGCCCTCAACTAAGGTACATGCCCTTGACCAGAATCGAACCTGGGACCTCTCAGTCCACAGGCCGACGCTCTATCCACTGAGCCAAACCAGTTACGGCAAGGATTTTTGACCTACAGAAGTAAGAGGTAATAAATGGATATTGTTTGAAGCCTCTAAGTTTGTGGTGACTAGTTATGCAGCAATAGAGAATGAATAGAGCAAGTAATCTGAGAGTAGGGTTGGGGATGAAGTGGGTGGCAGGGGATCCAGGCAATTATAAAGCCCACAGAAGGTATGCTCCTGACCCTTGAACCCACCAACCAAGGAGAGAGCCCAAGAATTGCATCCTCCCTTCGCAGCTCACTCTACATATCAAGTGCATGACAGCATGCCAAAGCACTGTCTGAAGCACCAGGAGCAAAGATGAGGTCAAATCCTTGTGTCCAAGAGTGACAATACTGCAGTGCAGTGCTATCACATTGGACTATTAACAGAAAGAACAGCCCAGGAACAAAAAGCACAAGAGGGTAGGGCAGGGGTGGGCAAACTTTTTGACTCGAGGGCCACAATGGGTTCTTAAACTGGACCGGAGGGCCGGAACAAAAGCATGGATGGAGTGTTTGTGTGAACTGATATAAATTCAAAGTAAACATCATTACATAAACGGGTACGGTCTTTTTTTTTTCAATAGTTTCATTCACTTCAAACAGGCCGGATCTGGCCCGCAGGCCATAGTTTGCCCATGGCTGGGGTAGGGGCAAACATACATGAAGTTACACAAAGATTTTTCTACTAAAAAGGGAAAATTATAATTCATCTATAATAATAAAAGTGTAATATGCTAATTAGACTGGACATCCTTCTGGACGACCTTCCGGACGAAGCCAGGGCTGCTAGGGAAGCCTGGGTCCCAGGTACCAGAGGGAAGCTAGTGCCAGCAGCCGGGGAAAGGAAGGCCTACTCTTGCACGAATTTCATGCATCAGACCCCTAGTACAAATATAAAAAACATGCCAGTGATTTTGCTTAACTTAAAATAAATGAGGGAACCAGTAAGATTAACAACCAGTTAAAAGAAAAAAATACACACCATCAGGAAGGAGAGGGAGAGGGAGAGGGAGAGGGAGAGGGAGAGGGAGATGGCTAGTAAGAAAAAGGCAGGGAGGATGAAATGAAGCTATTGTTGAAATTATTCTAGATCAGCTGGTAGAGATCTTTAAATGATGAAATATAGAATTTGGTCATTATTCTCTATGTATGAAGGTCTCTTGAATGGAAGTTAGAGAGTCATAAACCTGTTTTAGAAAAATGATTGACATCTACATAAAGGATGGTTTGGGAGAGAAAGAGAGGCCAGGTAAGATGCTGTTACTATTGTCCATGTGGGAGGTAAGCTTTTTTGTCCAATTCTCTTAGGGATGCCTATATAATAAGAGATCTTTGGAAGGCCGCTGTTAGATATAGCTTCCACTTAAGCTGGATGAATAAATAACAAACCAGACAGTGGGATTTGGGATTCAGAGGCTGAAGCATGAAATGTAGTCATCTATTTTAATATTCTCATGTGACTCAGTGTAGTTCATGTTTTTCAGAGCTGTTTCAGTGTGATCCTGTGGACTTTGCAGGTTCCTAACCCATGGCCACAGGCTTAGTAGCACTTATACTTCCAGGGAAAGCTAAAAGTATCAATTCTTTCAAAATATCTCAGCAGTGTGACTTAGTAAACCTGTAGATGAGGTTTCTATTTTTGTCAAAAAATATATAATTCATGTACCTAGCTAGTAGCTTTATTTTCATACGGAGTTTGAATATGTTTTCTGTAAGAAATTATAAATGTTTTTGCAAGTAAGAGAGAATGTTATTTTGTGAGTTTTTTTAAAGCATTGTAGCTTTGTTAGAAAACTAGTGGTAGCCCTTTTAAAAATAATTTTTGATTCTGAAAATTTCAAACACATTTAAATGTACAGAGTTTAGTATAATGAATCACCATGTAACCTTTATCTGGTATTAATGATGATCAATTCATGGCCAATCTATTTTTTTCTGTATACTCTACTTCCCATTTTCCTACCTCCCCTGTTATTTTGAAGTATATCCTGTACCATTCTAAGGGCATATAAGGAAAGACAGGACTGCTTTTTAAAATATAACCATAAAATAATGGTAGTCATTTTAAAAAAGCCATGAATGAGAAAAGTTACAGACTTTGGATAGGTTTACATTTGGTAATTTGTTGTTAATTGTTTTCAATGAACTTGAGCAATATAGTCATAATATGGCAGTTAAACATTTCATGCACAAGAAGCTCTTGAAGTGGTGTCTCGCCCTCTCTGCACACTTCAGTGCCCACAGACTTCCCTCTCACTGGCTTTCCTCCCTCTAAAAGGCTGGGAGTTTGCAGTGCATCAGAGGAATGACTCTGTAATCTCAGGATGCCAGAACTGAGCTCATTTCTGTACCAATTCCTGCTACAAGGCCATTTTTGTTTTTAACTGCTTGGTTGAGCCAGATGACAAGTGAAATATGATTCATGTGAATAATAACATCCTATTCCCGCTCCCTTGCCAGCCCCTCACCTCTACCCCCCTTCCCCAGTCAAGGGTTCTGGTGAGTGCCCAAGATGTTCAACTAATAGCTCTACTTTGCATGCAAGTGACTGATTTTCCATCTTCCAACTCAGAATCGATAGGACAGAAAGAAGATTCATATACTCATGAATAGGGGATCATGCGGCAAAATTCCTAAATTTAACGCATAAGACAGCTGAGATCTAGGGAAATAGTGGCTGAATAGTGGCCCCACAGACATCCAGGTCTGTGGAAGTACTTCATAGGACAAAAGAGACTTTGCAGGTGTGAGTAAGTGAAGACTCTTGAGATGAGGAGATTATCCTGGTGGGCCCTAAATGCAGCCACGGGTTTCCTTATGAAGGAGGCAGAGGAAGGTTTGACACAGAAAAGGGCTATGTGATCACTGAAGCAAGGTGCTACTTTGCTGGCTTTAAAGGTAGAGGAAGAGGCCATGAGTGAAGAAATGCTGAAAAAGGCAAGGAAACAGATTCTCCTCTAGATACTCCATATGGAACATGGCCCGGAAGATGCCTTAATTTTGGACCAAACTATCTCAGGCTCTGACCTCCAGAGCTGTAAGAAAATAGATCTGTGTAGTGTTAAGCCACCAAGTTTGTTGTAATTTGGTACAACAACCATAGGAAATTAGTACAGGAGGTCTTCACTGTCCTGCCCAAGACAGTGGCCAAGGTGAGGTATAGCTACACTAGATCCCATGTCTTTTGACTTCTGGTTTTAATCAGTTAACTGCCACGCGTCCAAAACTGAAACCATTGCTTGCATCTATAGACGCTTATGGCCAGGCCTGCCACCTGGATGTGTCACAGGCTCTCCAAGTAGCTAAAATCTTCCCAGAGCCTTGGTTCTCAGGGGCAGTCTTGGAGGCAAGCATCTGATTGCTCACCCTTACTGCTAGAGCTAAAAACTCTATCCCCAATGGACAGGAGATTTTAAATCAAGTGACAAGTTTCTCATAATGGAATTTCAGCTTGTAAGAGCCTAAAGTGATGGACATACCCTGGGCAAGGGAGCCTGATGTATATTCTCAAATCTCTTGGTGGATTGAATTCTGCCTGCTTGAGGTTGAGGCTATTCATGCACCTTTAGAATCCAAAGCTTCAAAGAGGGAAGGAGAGCCCTGTCTTATGTATTTGAACTTATTAAGTCATTTGATAAACATGTATTGAGGGTCTACTATGTGCCAGGCATTATGCTAGCCAATGGAGATCTAGTACTGATCAAAAAGATAAACATCCCTGCCTTTATGGAGCTTAGGTTCTGGTAGGTAAAGATAATAATCAAAGATATGAATATATCTAAATATTGATATATGCTAATAAGTGCATTGTAGAAAAATCAAACACCGTTGATTTTGGTTTGGGGCTATGCTTTACAAACCAGCTTATCTCACAGTTTTACAAAGAGCAAATCTATTGCTACCCTGCTTACCCTGTTCTGGGTCACTCTTTAGCTCAGACAGTCTCATCTCTTAGCTTCAAAATGAACAAGCTAAGAGGAAACCTAATCAGGAGAGATGGGTGACTAGCCTGAGATATCCTACAAATGGTTAGAGGCCTGTTCAGAACTGGAATACGGGTATGATCAGTCACCATCCAATGTTCTTTCTTACTGCATGGAATTATTTTCAGTCCAGCATTTGAGAGTTAACCAGAA